CTTGTGTTCCCTCCACTAGCACCCCTTGTGTTCCCTCCACTAGCACCACTTGTGTTCCCTCCACTAGCACCACTTGTGTTCCTGGTCTAGGTGCCAAGGTGCTTGGTACTTTCGCACTCTCGTTGCACCAGCAAGTTTTCGACAAAACACTGCTTCAGCACCAGAGACCTGATACAGCACTGGTCGTTGGCATTGGTTTAAACATGTTTAAACTAAGCTATTGTTGCAACCTGTTGCAACCAACTGTTATATAGGACTTTTGGATAAAAAGCACCGTAATCGATGCCCTTCCAAATTGTCTTATGTTGATTTACTAAAGTGAATTGGTGGCATCTTGCAGGGCCACGAGCTCCTTCATCAACATGTAACACATGTCCTCAGAGCCGTGCGTTTGGAACATGTAGCGTTAAAGGGCACCTAGGTTTGAACGGTTTGGATTTTGCCAATGGAGAGGAGGACAAACATGGGGGAGTTCCCCTTCCATTGTCCTAGGAGAGTGGAGTTGCAACCTGTACAATGGTCTTTAATTGGCTTTGGAGCTACCAGGCCACGGAGTCCACCAAAAAACACTGGAGGGATCAAATGGAATCCAACCGGCCGTGCTGTTCTGAGCCACGGCCGTGTTGAGCTTTTGATCGATGCCGCCAGGACTGGAATGCCACGGCATCGCCGGGAGAAAGAATTGGTGGGGATCGCCCTGAGGATCGATCGATGCGTCGGACGGGGGTTGGGTCTCCAAAAAGACGATCCTAGTCGAAGGACTCGTCAAGATGAGACGGATTTCAGGGCAGGTATAGGTATAGGTAGCGAAAAAGGAAAACCCTTTTCTTATGCGCATGAGAAAGGAACATTTTGTCATCCAACGTGTCCTTACCATTTCTTACCTGAGCCAATGGATGAAACATCATGAACATTTGGTTTTCTGTTTCACCCGATTTGCATTGATTTGTTGATATTTTGTCTTGCGCAAAAGATCCGATTATCGGCTGATCCGATCAGATTCTTGGGGCAGATTTTCGGGTTGTACCTTCCATGTTTTTGTGACGGACATGTTGAAACCTCATTTGGTGTTCATTGTGTTCACCATACCCAAAATGGTCAACATGGTCTTGGGATGTCTTGGGTGAGGTTTGGAGGTTAGCAGACGCAGGTGCTCTGCAGGCAGGTCCAGTCCCCTCGTCTGCAAGGGCCGTGTCAAGGCTGCCTTCCCATGCCACGTGGCCAGGTGTGGTTCACCTGGATCTTTCTTATTGATCCTCACTGTCACTTAGTACGATCATTCATCCTATCATCTATCTCACCACCGGCAAACAATTTGGGACCAACTAATTTATAGCAACAACACCAATATAGAACCGATCGGACCCCTCAAACCCACTGGCTGCTAGAGTGTTAAACAACCATGCCGTTTTCTCTTTGTTCATTTTGCCGAGGCGTTGGTGACAAGATCGTGAAGGTTTGCTGCGATGCGTTTGTTTCAAGCAGGGAGTGGGAGAGGTTCAACACTGGAGGTCGAAGTGAGCAGTTCTGTGACACGGAAACCGGGCCTGCATTTGTTTGTCAATGGATCCAACTAGACCCTGATCATATCTTGCGGGTTCCGGGCTTCTCCCAAACACGCAAGCTGTGGGCATGAGACAGGAAGCATCAACAAGTTTCCCAAAATGACCACCAGGGTGCCTCAGGGTGGGGAAGAATCACCATTTGACCTCGAGCTGCAGACCTCCTATAGACGTCATTCCATGGCATGATGTGTATCCATTTGCAGAGTGCGAATGTTTCTTCCGCTGTGCAGGTGAACCAGGTCCGCGGCAGTGGCAGGATGCTCTTGGCAGAGTTCCGGAAGGACCAGGTGTTGGAGCTCAGAATCGTCCTGCATGGTCCTACATGGTTGTGGACGTGTTTCAGTGCTGTGGAGTCTGTGAGTATGTCCGTTGGGGGCACCAGCTGCTGCAGAAGACATAGTCGTGGGTCGTCGTCTTGGGAGAAAAGGGGTGACAGGTGCTCCACCTGCTGGTTGCTCCTCCAGGGGATGACATCGTGGCCAGCGAGGTGTGCTGGGCAGAGTAGCGAGGGGTGACAGGTGGCCAGCGTCCCCATGGAGAGACCCCCTGTGTGAGGAGATCAACGGGACTGAAGAGTGGAAACTGAAAGGGACCACTGGGTCTTGAGGACTGGTTGAGTGGTCTTGAGGACTGGCTCTGGAGATGATTGAAAGTAGACATCCTCAATTCAAGTGACCGCGAGGTGTGATTGTCTCACAAAGAACTCGCTGCGCATGCTTTGGTCCACAGATACTATGGAGTCAAAAGAGTCGCCGGGGGCTTGTTATCATGACATGATCATCTCCAGTTCATCTTGAGCTTGTTCATCAGCACATGTCAACAAAGCCGAGACACTTTGACATGCATCATGTCTTCAGAGTCGCAGATGCCTTTGCCAGGCCAGCAACAAGGTGCGGCAATTGTGGAGAGGAATGTCGTTGGGGCGGGGCTGTGCGCACGAAACGGCACAGCCGCCTGTCATGGTTTGTCCACTTACTTGCAGTTGCCACGGACGATCTGGTGTGGACCAACTGGACCTCTTCTGCGCGTAACCTGCGGACTGCAGGTTCCTCCACGAGCGGAAGAACTCACCTGGCAGGCCAGCAACCATCGGCTGAGCAGCGGAAGCTACACTCCTAGGATGGATTGAGAGGATTGGAGTTACACTTCATGGCTGCCATGGCTCCTCTTCTTGTTTTGTAGAAGGGTGGCCCTTTTCAAGCATGTACATGGTGAGAGATGGTGATTTCCTGCATGTACGGAGTTTGTTTGTTCAGCAAATCTCATGACCGGAGACGTTGATTCTCCATCGCTTGCTTACTTGGAGCCATGAATCATCATGAATCCTCCACCAGTGGCTCGTGCCTGATCCTTTGCTGCGGCATCACCAGGATCTCAGCCTGCAACAGCTTTTGGGTTGGAGCCCTCCAGGACTCTGCGATTGGCGCGGGAACCCGAGACTTCGGTCGAGCCTCTTCGGAACCAGAAACGTGAGACTCTTCAGCATCTAAATGCTACAAGGCTGGCAAACATTTCGACCATTATGTTTGAGGCCTATGAGACGTCCCACCAAGGTTTCTTCTGTGATGGGTTCACAAGTACCAATCAGATCGTATGTAGATGATCAAGGTGCCGGCTGTCCTCCATTTGCTGCTGCAAAACCATGCAAAACGTCTTGGCCAATTGGACTCATCAGACTCATCAGACTGTATCAGACTGGTAGGGTGATCCTGTGTTGCTGGGGCGGATGAGAACCGAGGAGTTTGTGCCGTTCCTTTAGTTGATTCTGAGGCAATGGCACGAGACTCCTCTGCAGCAAGCCACTGGACTAGGCGGGTGCAGCCGTTTGGCATGTAGAGTTTGAATGGCCCCGCGGACGTTGCTTGGATATGTTCAAAATCTGCGTCAGCCAGGCCAAGTGCAGTAGATGGCCCAAACATAATATTTCTGGAACTTCAGAGTGGTGCTTGTGTTGTTTGTGATGCAGTGGACAGTGGTGGAGGATTGACGAATGGTTGATTGATTGTGGATGGTTGATGAATGTGCGTGCGTTTGTGATTTCCTCATTGTGCTGCGCATGCTGTCTTCAGCAGTTGATGGTGAGATCTTTTTCTAAGTGCAGACTCAGTTGAGGCCTTCAGAAGGCCTTTGTTGAGGCAATCCAATCCAATCCCATACCAGTACCAACTCTTTGAATGGCCAAACTCCCGACATGAAGGTCCGTGGAAGATGGCAGTGGTTCAGTGCTTACCTGAGAGGTTTGTGCGCTGGCAGGTTGGTGTTGGTGAAGGGAAGGTGGATTCTCAATACATCTATGCATGTCCCATGTCATTCTAGCAGCTAGCATGCACATGTGGACATGTGGACACGAGCCGCCAAACTTAGGAAATCTTCATCTTGAGAACTCCCCTTACCCATGACTACTGACTACTACTACTACTGGCTACTCATCAGTACTCCTTCCACCCGATTCACATTCCAACACGATCGAAACGGCTGCCAGGGCCTGCCTGCGCTGTCGATGCTCAAAAGCCCCAAAATAGAATTCCTGATTGGTTCCTGAAAAAGGGCCTGACTTAGTTTTGTGTTGTTTCTATAGAAAGGGCTTTCGACTTGTTTGGTTTCATAGAAAGATGCAATGAATTTCAAGATCTTCAACCCTTCAACCCACAACCACATGGCACTTCACTCATCCAGAACTTAAAAAGACCCCGAGTGATCTTGGGCGGCGAAACCACCCGTTCACACCACCCGTTCACACCACCCAGTCAGCCTGTCGGCCATCTGGGGGTTGCTTAAAGCATGAAGAAGCCCAAACGCTTGATGACGCGCCCACATGTCAGTTGGACGAATGGTGTTCCGGGGACCTTTGGGAAGCGAATGGAAAGGACCGCGGACACCACACATGACCGCCATGCGGATGGATCCACTCGGACCCACATGTCGCGACTCTCGGAGGTTGGACGGTTGCACTTGGACTTCAGAGGTGGATGAAGTCTTCATGACCTCGCTGGAGTGTCAGGAGCACATTCGGGCTGTGGGCTGGTTCATTGTTCATGCAGATTGCGATCTACACGACCTGCGGATCCGGATCCGCGTTCGGCAGTCAAGAGATGGCAGGGTTTGTGAAACATTGTGGAACCATAAATCTGTCAGGTTCAATAGTCTTGCAATTGTGTGAAAACTCATGGAGTTTGCAATCTGAGACTCCAAGATTTCGCACTTGGCTTCGAGTTCCTTTCCGCAAACTTCATCCTGCCTCGTTCAAGTCAGCAGGAGCGCATTTCCTTCCCTTCCAAATCCTGTTTGGCGCCGGGTGGCCCATGGGGCCCGTGGTCATGAGATGTGGATGGGGAAAGCAGGGGAAAGCAGGAAGCTTCGAAAGAATGGCCGGAGAGGTTGAGCAGTTATTGTGTCTCAGTGAAGGTTTTGCATTTCTATTTGGAATCACGCGTCATGTGTATTTCCATGCATATGCGCAATTGGAATCAACACTTTGATGGCTGGCAACTTCTTGCTGCTGCCACCTTTCAAAATTGAAAGGAATCTTCGGGAAAGAAACTCCCAAAAGGTGCGGTGGTAACCAGCATGCTTGGATCTGCGTTTGCGTTAGCACCTAATTTGTGCTTCCAGCACAAGCCAGCCATTTGTATTTTCCTTCAAGGCTTTCGCAGGATCCACTGGTACCTACTCTTGGAATCTTTATTTGTTATCTTCGCACGATCCACCATCCTTCTTGCCCTTCATCTGATCCAGTCTTGGCTGTCACGCCTGAATCGGATCACGAGCTGCCACAGTCGTAAGTTGACGAACCGGAGTTTTTCCCGAACTGAGGAAGCTGCAAAGTTTGGACTTGATACTCGTCCCGCTGTTGCTGGATGAGGAGGTGCGGCAGCGCCATCGGCAGTCGTCCGGAACGGCGGGGGACGATGGCGGAAGTGAAAAGGACCAAGGGGAAATTGGTCACGGATTTGAAATCCATGTGTCGTGGTGGAAGGTTCTCAAATTGGTGCATGGGCATTGAAGAAACGTACAAAGTGGGCACATTGCAAAGTGTCCGTTCAACTGTTGCATCTTCATGCATCTTCTTGGGGTTTGGACTGGTGAATTTTGAATGGGCACTTTGGAAGGATGGGGCAGGCATGGTGCCCAGAAATTTACTTGATTCCTTGCATGCAACGGTGAGAAAGGGGGTTCAACCACACCACCCCAAATGGTTCCCACTCAAGCCGATGTCTTTACAGATCCTACCATTTTGCCTATGACTCATAAAGTTTTGACTCAAGGTCATAGCCAATTTTAAGTCAAGTCTTCATTCACAGCTCCTCTCCAGATGAGGATCTTTCCACACCCCTTGCACCGTGGCACTGCAGAGTGCAGTCCCTGGGGTGATTTTTCACGGAGACCCCGAAGGGTTCTCCGCTCGCAGGTGGAGGAGCTGAGTGAGCTCTGCGAAGAGGTACTTCGTCGGTGAGATGGCAGATGCGATGCGATGGGGCGGCTGAGGGGCTGAGTGGACTTGTTTTCCTGCAGATTCTTACGAATCACCAAGAAGGAAACTCATGATATGTTCATATCATTTTCCTTCAGATTCATGTTCATGATATGTTGATGAGTCATGAACCATGTTCTAGCTGAACCATGTTCATTGTTCCTTCAATGAATCATATTCATATGATGATATGTTTCTCAGCAAGCTGAAGAACCCCGCCAGAGATTCTTCATGAATCATGTTCATGATATGTTTTCTCAACAACCTGACCTAGAACCCCTCAGTGGGAGCCTTCTTCTGAGACCACATGGACAATCACGATCATGAAATCATGGTGCCCTGAGACTCCTCACTCTTTGTAACTGTCACTCCGTCAGTGTCGGCCAGACACTAAGAGACGACGTAGTCGAGGGGTTCCGAGGTTCGTGGGTGTTCCAGGCTCCGAAGTCCTTCGTAGGTGCAGTGGCGCCATGCAACATAGCTACTAGCTTTTTCGGATCGGTTCGGCGGAAGCAGAGTATTCGGTTGTCCTAACATCATGTGATGTTTGATGTTCCCCATAATTGAATCATGGGCTCCTGGACAGCAAATCGAAAGGGTTTGGTGCTCAGGTCCGCCGGTTCCTGGCCGAGCTCCAGGCACTGCCGCATGGGTTAATAGGGAGGTGGGTCTCCAAAGACGTCTCCCAACCGGAAACAGACGTCAGTGAAACAACATGAAACAACGAACTACATATTACAATATAGTATTCTGATGTATTCTGTATAAATATAACATATATATATAGGATTTTATATATAGGCAGATATAGGCATATAGGATGTTACTTTTGCGTGTCAGGATCAAATATGTTCCTTTCTATCCGGGTCGCCTGCAGGAGATGGACCCCTTTGCACGGATCGTCGCCGCTTGGTGAGCTGGACAGCGAGTCGATCTCCGTGTTGGTACCATGTATTCCAATTAAAATACAAGTGAAAGTGGTGGAATATGCTTGAATTGTGGTTCATGATTGCTTGATCGCATGTTGTTGCGAGTGAGTGAATGGCAGGAAGCAGAAGAAGAGCTCCAACACACTGATGGTATGACCGTTCATGAAAAACTACATCAGTTCCGATCGGTTTCGTGTGTGGGCCGCGGCGGAAGAGGACTGAGAGAACCTGGACTGGTCCTCCAAGAGGGAGGCCCACAACCAATGGGTTTTGGTCACTGTCCTACTTAGGAGGTCCCATATATTTGAATGCACCCATATCATATGTGTTGATCTGGAGACTCAAGTTGAAGGGTCGCCATGGTTGCTCGTGGTGGAAGGTCCTCGTGGTTGTTCCTTCACGACGGTCTCCGAGGTGGTGGAAGGTCGAGTCTTCGTTTTGAACCGAACATCGATTTGATCGATTTGCCCCACCAAAAAACATCTGCCAGTGGTGCCCAGCCTTTCTTGTCTCCGTCTTTGGTCGACAACTGGGTCTTGGCCTATTTAAACCACTTTCAACCTGTACCCATTCTATCCGAAGGTACCATTATTGGGTCCAGTTGCTGGTCTTCGGTGCCGGTGACCTCTTCTCCTCAGATTTCCCCCCAAGCAGCCGACGCGGTTGCAAAGAACCTCCCACGTAGCAAACCTTCAGGCGCCGCCCCGCCTAGGCATTCGCGTATACCCGGGGTCGGCGGATACATATAAACACAGGTCGAAAAGCGTGTCAACCTGAAGTGTTTGGACGCATTTTGGACGCGTTTTGGACGCCATCTTCCAGAATCTCTCGGAAAGTGACTCTCCCACCCTCCCAGCTGTCCGCTGTCCGATTTCTGAGGCTCGGACCGATATGTCCTGTGTGTTCCAGGAAAAACAGACCCATAAAACAGACCCATGGTAACAGCTGCAAAACAAAAGCATGTGCCATATACCGAGGTTTTGCTGCCAAAAAAAAACATGTGCCATAGATATTCTTTGCCCCACTATACAGAGGTTATCAGAGGGTTTAAGGGGTCTCTACTTCTGCCACGCCCGCGCCCGCGTCCTCTCCGCCGAGGCGTTGACCTGCGGCAGCAACGGCCCCGACTGCTTTGGCGCCCGAGACGATGGGTCCGGGGGAGACCGAGACCGGGATGGAGCGGAACGGTGTCCCCAGGTAGAAGGGGCAGAAGAAGGCAGAAGAAGGCAAGGCACAAGGCAGTGAAGGCAAGGATGTTCATGTCAGGTTCCCTTTTTCAGGTTGGAAGGTTCCTTTTTGCTAACTATATATATATAGTCCAAGTCCAAAGAGATAGAACTTATAGAACTTGTTAACAATGGCGGTGAAGTTGTGCTTAATGGACGTCAAGCAAATGATGCATGTTCTTTGTTGAAGACATGAAAGCATGAAGACGGTCAAAACCAGTACGATCAGTTGCAATCCGAAACACCATCGTTTCCACGCACTGGCCGGAACAGGTTCGGAATGCCCGCGGCCGCCCCGGCGCGCGGGATGTTCCGCTGCTTCCGATTGGAACATCCTGAGGTGCACCATGCAGAGAGTTGCGGAATTGTGGGTGGGTGCATGGGTGGACAAATATATGGGCTCATGCCCAAGTGAGGTGTGTGTTTTTCATTGTTTTTCAATATAGGGATATGTCTCCAAGGGGTCGGGACGCCTGGGAGGTCTCCTTAATACACCAAATACACACCCATGACTGTATGTCCTCCTGACTCTGTGGAATGCTCATCCGACGTGCAGGTTCTCACCCACGAATGGACCTGTTTGGATCAGATCCAACGCTCCAACGCCTTGGTGTTGGGTCCGAAGTGCCCTTCCACCTCCCATTTCTCAGGCTAAGAGGAGGTTCCGAAGACCACTGGATACAGTGCTGTCCATTGAAGTTCCATGTTTGTTGGAGGATTGGTACTTATAGTACTTTTATAGTGTATACTACAGATCCTAGATGACCCTACTGAGAATATCATAGGCGTGGTCAAGACATCTTCAGAAAACAGTCACTTTGGCACTTTGGGTTCTTATGGGTTCTTTGAACATTTTTTGGATGTTTCATGATCTTTTTTTTCTTCAACCGCAACCACGGCGACATCATCGTCCCAGACCCCCATCTTGCACATCGACACCGACGCCGTGGGGTCTGGTGCTTGGCTACCGCCCTGGTGCCACCGAGCTTTGTTGTCATAGCCCGGATCGGGAGTGTGCCGCAGCATGGCGTCAGCTCGGCAGGGCTCGTGTGATGTTCGCGTGATTTTTGTGCGTCGCATCATGCAATTTGTGGTGCTGGAGTCATGATACAGCAGCACGTGCATGGTATCAGGAAGCCTCGACAAGAGTGGTTACATTGGGCTTAAGTTGTGTGGTCCCTTTGAGCAGCATTTCATGGCGTGGACAAGCCTAGTCAGCTTTCAGGTATAATTAGATAGAATGTCGCATGTGCCATTGGAATGGACAGGAGATCAATGTATGATTCAGTCGAAGACGTTTCTCTTCACAACCAGTTCAAAGATGGCTGATGTGATGGCTGATGTGATCACCAATGACCATGACATGGCCTAGCCGATTCCTTGATATTCCTTGCATGGCACACTTGGATGCTGGGTGTGTCCATCGGTTCCATCCATCTAGGCCGCTTGGTGGATTCGTAGCACCATCACTGCTACGAACGAGTGTGTCCATCAAATTCCATCCTACCAGATCTACTCAAAAAAGTGCCGGCGGCTGCTTCGCCTGAAGCAGATGCCAACCGCGCTCGCTTCGCTCTCGACGAAGCTGGACCGAGGCCCGGCAAGACTGCAGAACTGGAGGCTGCCGCCTCGTGACTGCGGATCTGGGCAGAAGCGGAAAAACCCAAGTCAAACAGCGGCGATTTTCGACCCAAATGACTTGTTTGGAAGCAGAATCTGAGGTCAGACCTAAAGTGTATGAACATGTTTGCCCTTATAAATTGACATGACCAGGTCAGGTTGTTTTTGCTTGGGGTCATTGACACCATGCTGAATAACAGACCCTGCAGTTCTTTGCATTTCAGTCAGGCGCAGATCCGCCGCGAGTGCGGGTGCTCGGTTTGTTGGGTTAGCTTGGTTTGGTTTGGGCCTTGTGTTCGTGGAATTGGTGGATTGGAGAAGGGTCGCATGGAGCGGATGGAGCAGTCATTTTCAAGTTGCCGACCTTCCTCAGTGCACAATTAGATAGGGAGGGGTATTTATTTTTGGATTTTTTTTTGTTTTTTTTTAAATCTTTTTTTTGTTTTTCGTGGCTTCTGGCTTCTGGCTTTTGTGGCTTTCGTGGCTTTCGTGGCTTCTGTGGCTTTTGGCTTTTTGGCCTATCCATCTATCTGTCTATACCTATATCTATTTATCTATCTATCTTTCTTTCTTTCTTTTTTTTGGCATTTTTTCTCCTTTCTCTTTTTGTATTTGCTTTTGTTGTTGTTTTGAATGCAGAGACGGAAGCAAACAAGGAAGCAAGCAAGCAAGCAAGCAAGCAAGCAAGCAAGCACGAGCTGCTCACCTTTGGATCTGGTGTGCTGCTGGGGGGGGCGCCGCGCCCCCCCCAACCCCCCCCGCGCCACGAAATCTGCACTTCATCCCCGACACCCGCGCCTGCCACGAAATCAATATTTTAAGGTGAACTCCCCGGTGCAAAACTTTCTAACCAAGCAAATATGCCTCCTCTATCTATCTATCTATCTATCTTATCTTATCTTATCTTATCTAATCTAATCTATCTATCTATCAATTTATCTTTCTATCTTTCTATCTTTCTGCAGTTCAACATCCACAAAGTACTGCACCTGCCACGAATCTGCACTTCAAGGTCCACAAAGTCTTGCGCCTGCCACGAAATCTGCACTCCAAGGCCCACAAAGTCCTGCACCTGCCACCAACTCGACTCTACACTTCCACACCCACAAAGTCCTGCATCTGCCACGAAATCTGCACTTCAAGGTCCACAAAGTCCTGCGCCTGCCACAAAATCTGCACTCCAAGGCCCACAAAGTACTACACCTGCCACGAAATCTGCACTTCAAGGCCCACAAAGTCCTGCACCTGCCACGAAATGTGCTTTGCAAGGTCCACAAAGTACTGCACCTGCCACGAAACACGAAAAAAAAAAATTCAAAAAAAAAACGAAAAAAAATCCAGAAATATATTCGCAACCTGTTTGATGTCAGTGAATCAGAACGAGTCTATCTCATTTTGCTTATAGAGATTGACCTCAAGTAGAGCTCCACTTGGCTGAGGCTGACCTGGAGATACAATACCCAGCAGGCACCGGGGGGGAGGGTGGGTCAAGTCAACTGGGGGCAGGTGGAATTCAACGTGTTTCCCGTTCCGATGCACCCAGAACATGTATGTTGTGAGTTGTGATTGGTTTGTTCATTTTTTGTTTGGTCTGAAGACGAAAGACGAGAATAAACACATCAAGATCGGTTTGAACCTGGAGGAAGAGTGAGGAAGATAACAATCATGCAGTATCATTAAGACATTAATCAGAATATAAGGACTCTTTTTGCAGACATAGACGTCCGCTCGTTTCCGCAGACTTGTGCCAGGCCTCTGACTTGCACCTTGGCAGAGCAACGAACGAACGTTTTCCCGTGGGCATCGAAGGGTCAGCTTCAGAAGCTCTATAGAGCCCTCTAAGATCAGTAGTTTGGGAACCAACCACGGCCGGTGGTTGGATGAGGGCACCTGCTGCCAGAAGCCAGCAGCGAACTTCTGAGAAGGATCCAGCTGACTGGTTTGATGAGGAACACCTCCACTTTTCACTTACCAAAATCACTGCTTATTCAGGTAATTAAAAAGGATCCGACTCTAGGTCTCTTAATTGATGCTTGCAGGTAAGGAAAAAGCCTGGAACCAAAAAGAATAGACATGAGCTGTATGATTTATGTGCACTGCGTAACAAGACATGGCAGAGCTTCCTCTTCTACGCCTCACGCTCTCATCTGAGGGCTTTTCTGGGACGTGAGGCGCAGGGGACGCATCAGCATCCGCGGCTTGGGCGAACGGGGGGAGTTGTTGTCCAGTTGGACCATCTCCAGACAACGTTGGGCCCTACCTGAGAGACACCGGTTTACACCTCGTTGGCTCGGTCTACCTTTCTCCGTTGCTCTTTCGGACGGCCCCAGAGAGGGCATGTTACGTGTGTTACTGTCACACATGGAAGATCTCTTGAATCAACCTGAAATGTCAGGCCATGTGCTGAAGACTTCTCACAGCCTGGCCATACCTGGTGAAATCAGTCGCCAGTTCACGGATTGTTCATTTGTCGTCATCTCAGTGAATGCAGGGATCCCACTACTTCGTAGTACCAGGCACCTTGGCATTTTCCAAGTGACAAGCTTTTTGTTTGCCTTTAGAGAAAGATTGTCCATCACATCATCCAAGTGGACACCAAGGAGGCTGTTTGATATCTGCATTTCGTCATCTGGGCACAGGGGCAAAGGTGCAAGTACCCATTCCACTGTTCCCCTCTTCTTCACATGAACCTGGAGTGACTTCTGCGATTGGCAGGTCGCCTATCGCCGCCAGCGCCGCTTCGTGCCGCAGCGGGAGAACTCAGATCATATGGCGAGGATTTTGTTCCCTTGTCTTGGCCTGTCTTCCGTTTTTCCTTTGGGCACAAGAGGAAGAACATGCAGATACCAAGTTCAAAACCCCCGAGGCTTGGATTCATTGTCTCACAGCTCCTTCCTTCCTTTTTGTGTGGCCTTTCATCCACCAAGGTTGGACGTGTGTCGTCAAGCTCCAGCCCGCAAGCGCGCCTGCCCGGGCGCCCGTGTGGTTCAACAGCCCCAGCCCGGTCAACGGCGGGCAGCTCGCGCTCTCGCCTTGGCATCGCTTCGAGGCCTTCAACGCACCGGTGTGGCACTGATCACCGGCGGCACCGGTGGACTAGGATTGACCACCGCAGAGGCGACGCCGACTGCTCCAGCGGAGCGGACTCGGGACTGCAGGACTGCTGACTGGTTGCCAGGGTGTTTGTAGGAGTGACAGGTCGACACGGGTCCAGTGAGATGAGTTCCTTCTTTTTCATGGCAGGACTGAGACTGGTCACTTGGCTGGTCCTTTGACTACGTCGTCGGAGAATGCATGACGCCGATTTGAAAGTCTGCCAAGTTATATAAGCAACTGAATAGGAACTAGCAGCATTGAACACTGAATTTCCATATTTATTCGCTGTGCCAGGTCTTGGTCGACGCGGGTGTGCGCCATGTAGTGCTTTGCTCACGCTCTGGGAAAGTCTCTGCAGATGCGCCTGGGCAGCTGATGGAGAGGCGCGCAAGTCTGGTGGCTTCGAAGGAAGTGAAAGACTGTTGAAAAAGCCTGAGGTAGAGAAGACTTTGTCATCCATGTGGCCCATGTGGGACGGGGTGATGTTTCTTTCAGCTGTAAAAACAAACCTAAACGAACAAAACACGTAAGCAGACTGAACACGAACGCCTCAATCCTTGATGCGGATGGTCTGATGAGCTGCGCTCCGGTGGTTTTCTGCGCTCCACCAGGCTGGAAGGCTTGCAGCGGACGGCGACCGTGGTCCTGGAGGCCGGGTGCCAGTCCTACGTGTGGCGCGTTCTCCAAAGCGGATGCACCGGGTGGGTGGGGGGGTGGGGGGGTGGGTGGCCATGGCTTATTGGATTTGTTCTGAGATTAGAGAAACAGTCAGACATAGTCAGACACCCACACACCTGTTCCCCTTAGACGTCAAGGTTGGAAATTTCATGCAATCTCAGATCCTGTTTCTGAAGCGAACTCACCCCATACACGCTTGATTGGCACGGTCTGACCATGCAGAAAGAAGAAAAGCCGCCTGCAAGGCTTGTGATGCAGCTGATGAAGATCAAGTGCTGGCGATGTGGCTGGCCCTAAACGTTTTGCGAGGGGGTTAGGCAGAAAGCAGAAGGACAAATCCCAATTCTCAGCCTGGACAATTTGACGGATTAAGGAGGGTCAACGTGGCCAAGGAGAGTCAATTTGGCCAAGGAGAGGATCAACTTGGCCTTAACTTTTTTTTTGACTTTGAGAAAACCACCCTCGGTTAGAACCATGGTTTGTAACATGTGAGAGA